CACTCAGCAGGTACGATATAAATATTTTTTCTAATATATGCAGTTGCTTCTATTTTAAAAACTTTTCTAGTGGGCTTATAGTTAGTTAATTTTAAAGGACATAAATAGCTTTTCTTTCCTCCAGTACGACTTAGTACAATTATATCATTAAAAATATTAGACTTATTTTTAAATATCTCATGTAGATAATATAACATATAATTATAATGTACAACAAGGTATAGGTAATTTGAAAAGTAATGTAAAAGCAAAGAGCATCTATAATATAAAAAGTGGATAAAATATAAAAGGTTGCAAGTTGTTGATAGTAAGCAATACTCGGAATGTAGTAAACAACGCATAGTGCAATGCATACAATAGAGGCAACATCTAAGCAATAAGATGCTGTAATTTAACATGTGTCTTAATGGGTGAAAATACAAAACATCTTTAGTTATAAAAAAATAAAAACAGATAATCTTAATATAGAAAGAAATAATACAAATATTATAAGAATTTGAATCATGCGGAGTTTTTAATATGTATTTTCGACAAGTCGTTTCTATAACGGATGGAAAACACTGGAGATGTGTCCTTTTCTCGGACAAGTATATTACTGTAGTAGTATATGACTGTTGTTCCATGTTTTCAATCTTTGATTCCAAGACAGCAATTTTTATTTCATTCTCATTTTCACCTCGCAATTTATACTTATACTTATCATCACGCACAATCCCTGACGGGGTAGCCAGAGAGAACAGATCGCCAAGTGTCACGATCCTTACATACCTCTTTCGCTTCTTTCAGATTCATTATCTTCTTCATACATGCACGTCTAGGTATCCGAGTACTCTTGACCCTCCCCTCTTCGAGCAGTTTGCTCACATGGTCTTCGAAAGTTAGTCTCGGTCTACCTCGACACCTTTTAATATTAACTTTCGCGCTATATATTTTCTTCACCATTCGGTCTTCACTCATTCGCTCAACGTGCCCAAACCATCGAAGCACGCCCTTATCAATTTTTGTGATAAGGTCATCTTTCAAACCTGCCATATTGCGAATCTCTTCGTTTCGCTTCCGGTCGGTCATGGTAACGCCGCACATTTTACGAAGAGATCGAATCTCCACTGCATTCAACTTGCTTTTATGCTTCTTCTGGCATACGCAGGTTTCGCTGCCATATAACAAAGTCGGTACCAACACTGCGTTATGTATTGCAAGGCGTGCACTCTTGACTACGCCTTGCCTTTTGACTAACGCAGTCAGGGCACCATTGACTTTGTTCCCGGCAGCGACACGCCTGTCCACATCTAAATCACATCTTCCATCCCGGCAATTTGGTCTTGGATTCTAAATCCGATATACGTTTTTGTAAGGCCACGGATGTCTTGTGCAAGTCTTCATATTTACTGCTTATAAATTCGATAGAATCTTTAATCTCACTCAGCTGTTTAATATAAAGTGACATTTTTTCATCTTATCTAGAAAACCAGTTTTCCATTATGCTTAAAATTTTATCTTGGAACTTGAGAAAATCTGTTGTATTAATTATCTGGGAGCTACAGTCCAAGCGTTTACGAAATGTGACATGTTCAGGAGGTGACTGATTATTAAAAACTGAAGGGTCTTTGGGTATTAAAGAAGAATCACTTACTTCGGCTGCGATATCGTCCACTTTTCCGTCCATCTGGTTAAAAGCACTGTTCATTTTAGATGTATAATATGCAATCTCTGTATGCAAATTAGTCTGTGTACAATATTATGCAGTTCCGAGCTATATGAGTCACACCGGTACGGTATGATAATATACAATTTGTAAAGATGTTTTTGTAGATAACACACTTTAACGCTAAACTACTTGCAATAAGAGTGAATTTATACTTTTCTTTTAATAATTGCACTGGAAAATAAATCAGACGTCAACTCGCTACGCGTTCGAAGCACGATATATAATAAATACATATACTTAATGTATGTAAGTAGGATGGTGTTACTATACAGTTAGAGTATATTTTCAGCTTTGCAGCAGTACTTAGTTATTACTGGTTTTAAAGAATATTGAGTTTGTCAATTTTTAGTTTATCATAAATAATTTTATAAATGTGAGGTGCTAGAAAATCATTTTGTCTTCGAGCAAAGGTACTTCTAACAAGAGGTAATGGGACTCGGTATCGGCGTTGGAGAACATTCGGTTGTGACGGTGGAATTGAGCGATGATATCTTCTTATAATTTGTTTAATAAATAGCTTTTTAATGCTAAGTACCTGGGCGTTTTGGTAAAGTGATTCAGTTGAATAGCGAAAAGGGAGCTTAAATAAATTTTTCAGCAGTTTTCTTTGGGCTCTTTCAACAATTGTCATTAGGGATTTAGCAGCACCACCCCATGAAATTACACAATAATTGATTATTATAGATTCTCCCAAAGCCTTATACGCACTCATAAGCAGTTTGTGGTCAGCAACAGAACAATGATATTTCATAGGATATATAAGTTTCCTTATACGACCTGCTACTATATTAAGGTGTAAGTCCCATCTCAGGTGATTGTCAATAGTTACACCCAAATATTTTATAGCGTTTACTTGACTCAAATATTCGCAATCACAAGTACCGCTACTACTATATTGTTTTCTATTACAGCGATTGGTGTGTATGCGCAATTTGAAATAATTTTCTGGGAGAGAAGCTTTGGTTTTGCTAAAATATAAATATTTAGTTTTAGAAGTATTCAGAGACAATAGGCTGTCCTCTAGACAAGCTGTTCCCATGCTTAATTCTTTTTCAACTAGAATGCGTAGTTCCATCCAGCTGTCACTGTGAAAAAGAAGTACAGTATCGTCTGCGAACATCATAAGATTGCAACCCCTCATTTTCAACCTACAAAGACCATCAATATAAATTAGAAAAAGAGTCGGCCCAAGTGTACTTCCTTTGGGAACACCGTAGCTACATGGCATTTCATTACTAAATTGTCCATCTACCCTCACTTTTTGTCCTCTGCCAGTCAAATAGTTTTTAAACCACTGGCACGTAATGCCTCTAATGCCAATGTTTTCTAGACCAGTTAACAGTATGGGAATTGACACAGTGACAAAGGCTTTTTGTAAGCCCGCAAATACTCCTAAGCACTTTTTACCCTGATCAAGATGAGAGGTTATTAATGAGGTTAACTTTAAGACAGCATTATCTGTCGGTTCGCCAGCTCTAAATCCATATTGATTCTCTGATAAAAGGTTTTTACTTTCTAATTATTGTTTTAAACGTTTATTGGCAATTTCTTCTAAAACTTTTGACATTACAGATAGCAGAGTAATGGGTCTGTAATTGAAAGGCAACTTTCTGTCACCTGCTTTAAAAATCGGTGTGACAACTGCTTTTTTAAATACGCTAGGAAATACACCCGACTCAAAGCTTAAATTACACAAATAACATAAAGGTTCAGCCAAAAATTCTCTGTTGAGTTTAAAAAAAATCCGTAGTTAAATTATCTAAGCCCGAAGCACATTTAGCTTTAAAGTTCGCTATAATGTTACTCAAATTTCTCTAGGATCTGTCAAAAAGAATGCCATAGTTATAACTATGGATTTATTAAGTTTAGCTTTAGTAGCCAATTGCGTTTCCGTATTATTTAGCTTATTTAGTGTTGGTGTGGCTAAATATCGACATATTGAAGTAAAATACAAGTTAACCTCATCCAAGGATTCTTCAGGAGTAGGTTTGATTTGGATAAGCTCCGCTGGCGGATTATTATTAGATGTATAGTTGCAGATCTCTCTAACAGCCTTCCACGTCTCCTTAGCGTTTTTTTTTTGTATTTATGGAAGTGATTTTGATAATAGTCTGCTTTCAATCTCTTGACCAATTGAGTACACCAATTTCTACTTACGTAGTATTTTTTTAAGTTTCCTTCATTATTACATCTAACAGATTTATACATCCTATACCTTTTATGCAGACATCTGATAATTCCGACGGTTATCCATGGAATAGAATAGAATACAATAATTTTTTATTCAATGTAGATCACATGTGTAATTCTTATTGAAAGTCATTTTTTACTTTACCACTGGTTCGAAAAAAAACCTCTGTCCTGGGAACAACCAGCAAGAAACCCAGCGGGACTTTTTTTTAAAGCAAATTTTACAATAATGGTTGTACAAACTATATAAGTACAAAATTTATTTTAGAAACAGCTTGGAAGCGATCTTCTCATTCCCAGGGGTTACTATCAACCATGTATTCATTTATGCTATAATAACCCTTTTTATACAGTTTCAACTTAACAAAACACTTAAACTTGCTAATAGAGAGAGCCTGTACACTTTCCGGGACCTTATTGTAATAGCGTATACATTGCCCCAAGAATGAATTACTGACTCTGTGGAGTCGAGAAACTGGTATCACTAGCTTGTGTTTGTTCCTAGTGTTTACAGAATGCACATCACTTTTTTTACTAAAACTACCTTTGTTTATGTGAACATACATTAAATTTTCGTAAATATACTGAGAGGCCAAAGTTAATATATTTATTTCTTTAAATTTATCTCTAAGAGACTCTCTCAGTTTTAGGTTGTAAATAACTCTAATGGCCCTCTTCTGTAAAACAAAAATAGTTTCTGAATCAGCCGCATTTCCCCATAGCAAAATCCCATAAGACATTATGCTATGGAAATAACTGAAATAAACTAATCTAGCTGTCTCGACACTAGTGAGACCTCTTATCTTTTTTACAGCATAGGCTGCAGAAATTAGTCTGCTTGCTAGTTTGGATATATGGGGGCCCCACTGAAGCTTTTCGTCGAGAGTGATGCCAAAAAAAACAGTGGATTCAACAGGGCTCAGTTCTTCCCCATTTAAAAACACATTGGTTCTCAGATTTTTAACATTCGTTGTTGTAAATTTAACACATTTAGTTTTATTTCCGTTTAAATGTAAATTATTAACGTTAAACCAATGCACTAATTTTGATATAGCATTATTCACTTGGTCACATTTAAATGATTGACGTTTAAGTTTAAAAATCAAAGAAGTATCATCAGCAAATAATCTATATCATGATTATCCTCTACAATAGAAGGTAAGTCTTTAATATACACTAGAAATAGGAATGGGCCGAGAATTGAGCCCTGAGGGACACCCATTAGTACAGGTGAGCCGGAAGAACTTTTACCATTGATAATAACTTTCTGCATTCTATTACTTAAATATGAAATTATAAGTTTAAGCGCTGTGTTCTTGACACCATAGTACTGTAGCTTCCTGATTAATATCTCATGGTGAACACAGTCGAAGGCCTTGGAAAGGTCACAAAATATACCCAAAGCATCCTCTGAATTCTCCCATGCACAAAAAATATGTTTGATAAGCTCAACTCCAGCGTCAGTTGTTGAGCGACCCCTTGTAAAACCGAATTGATTTCTATGTAGCAATTTATTAATATTAAAGAAACTTAACATCTGATCTAAAATTATTTTTTCAAAAATTTTACTAAATCTTGGTAGTACAGAAATTGGTCTAAAATTGGCGGGGTCTAATGTACTACCAGATTTAAATAAAGGTATGATTTTACTGAGTTTCATTAAATCAGGAAACACACCAGATTCGACGCTTGTATTAAATATAGTGGCTAGATAAGGTGCTATTATATCTATTATAGATAAAATAATTTTAACGGAAATCCCCCATAAATCTGCCGTTTTCTTAACATCAATAGTTTTAAAATATTTAACGATATCTTTTGGCAGTACTCTATGGAATTTAAAAGTATTTGAACAAGCCTTTACATTTTGTTTGAGCAATGATTCAGCGACAGTAGGAGAAGAGTTTAATGATTTAGTTGTCAAAAAAGGAACATCAGTAAAATGTTTCTCAAAAGCCATAGCAACTTCTTGATCAGATCGGGTTAAATTATTGTTAATATTCAATTGAAAATCCGAGTTGCGCGGTTTGACCTTGCCCGTTTCACTATTTATTATTTTCCAGGTCATTTTAATTTTGTTAGATGCAGTTTTAATTTTGTTACTTAAATGTAAAGCTTTAGCTGTGGCGCACACTTTTTTAAATATTTTAGAATATGTTTTTACATAATTTCTAAATACAACACTACTATTATATCGACGGTGGAAAGGAAAAACACTTGAAGCGACACTTTGGTTGAAAATGAGTTATATACATATTTGAAATCAGCGATTTTTTCTGCGTCGATTGGTCTTAGTTTCGTGGTGATCCGACCACTTTGGTGTCGCTTAAAGTAATGACACATTTAGGCTCAATTTTTTTAGACGCTAAATGAAGTGACAAAGAATTAAAGCAATTTTGGTCCATTTACCGCTTGAAGTACCGACTCCATAGTTAGATTATTATTTAATGTGTTTTTCCTTTTTTGTTTTGGATAATATAGGTTACTTAAATCGTTTTTCTCCGTCATATGAAATGTTATTTTAAACACTACATGTGTTTTTGCTTACTCCTATTCCGTTGGTGCTCAGTCGCTACATTCGTTTTTCCTTGCTTACCTTATATCTGTATGATGGAGTTAATGTGTTTTTCCTACATTATTATTATAGTATATTATGGATTTCAGTTGTTTTGGCAATCGCTTTAAAAAGCAGTGTTGTCGGTAAAAGTAAACATACACATAAAAACCACATAAATATTTAAATTAACCGACATAGTCTTTTATTCCCGAAACGTCGGTTCATTTAATTTCGCTAACTTCATAAATGAAGACGATAGTCGGTTAAAGTAAGCATTGTTTACGATATTGTGTATTTAGGTTAACTATTCAAAACAAGTCTTGTCGCTACAAGCAATGAATTTCGGTCTCTTTTGTGTAAGTGACGTCACCAATATTAGGAAATGATTGTGACGTGGCGCTTCATTCATCGGTGAACTGCCGTCGAGGCACATAGAGAATGCGTGTTTTAGTAAAGGTAAGTACCTGTAAATACGTAAATTTTCGTGTTATCAATTTCAAGGCACTCCCCTTCTTACCTCAGCCAGTATCGGAATCCTCGGAGTCGACATATGGAGTGACGTGCAGTTTCGTGGTCACTTGGAAGAGAAGGCCAAAATCGGCCTCTAAAAAGCTTGGTGTGCTCAGCAGAGCGGGACAGTATTACATGCCGGCACACCGCCTGCAACTTTACAAGGCGCAGGTTCGGCTGCACATGGAATACTTTTTTTTTATAGGATCGGGTGACAAACGAGTACACAGTCCACCTGATGGTAAGTGGTTACTGTGACCCATAGACATCTACATCTATCCTCAATAAAGACTCAAGATGCAGATGCGTTGTCACCCGTGAGGAATAAGATGGAATGCCTCTTTGCCAGTAAAAAGGGTCTCCGGTTCTCTACACTCACCATACGAAACACAGCAGCGTTAAGCTGCTATTTTACGCTGGTTTTCTGTGAGAGCGTGGTCTTTCCCCGGTCGAGCCGACCCATTCGTGCTGCAACCATGATATAGCTGCAGCATGGCTCTACCACGTAGAAAATACTGTTCCCATCTCTGAGCAGGGGCTCCCCAGTGCCAACTCCTTTCACTTGACCACATCCAGCGCAGAGCGGCTCGAATCATCGACAACCGAGTCCTTTCCGATCGGCTCGATTCATTGGCACTGCGAAGAGATGCTGCATCCCTTTGCATTTTCTTTCGCATCTACCACGGGGAGTGCTCTGAGGAATTGTTCGGATTAATCCCAGCCGCCAAATTTCACAAACGCACATCGCGGCAGAACTCCAATACCATCCACACCATCTGGATGATTGTCGGTCCACCACTGTGCGATTTAGAAGATGTTTTCTTCCTCGGACCTCTTCCTTGTGGAATCGATTACCATCAGCGTATTTTCCGGACCGATTCGACTTAGGGACCTTCAAGAAACTTTACTTACCCGTTGAATTTATAAACCAAAAAAAATTATATCGCATTTACAAGAATCAAAAAACTTCAGAATGTGTCGACGTGGGCAGGGAGAAAGTCTTTTTAAATATTTTCAAGAGTGAATTTAATATCGGATTTCGCGTTCCCAAAAAGTATAAATGCATAAAATGTATGAAATTTGATGCTTTAAATACTGAAGAGAGTAAAACGCAGAAAGAGGAACATCTGAAAGAAAAAGAAACCAGTAAAGAGAGGTACAGTCAACATCGAGAAATCGGCCAAAAGCGCAATGATGTAGTATGTGTGTCATTTGACCTGCAAAAGGTTTTAAATACTCCACATGGTGAGAGTATGCTCTTGTACTATTCACGAAAATATGCCATGTACAGTGTTTGCTTTTATGAAAATGGTACAAGAGACGGTTTCTGTTACATATGGGAAGAATCTGAAGGTAAGAGAGGAGGCAATGAAATAAGTTCTATTATACAAAAATACATACAATTGATGGAAGAACGTGGCACAGTAAAACATCTAATACTATATTCGGATTCCTGCCCTGGTCAAAACAAAAATAGAATTGTACTGGCCGCCGTTCATAAAATTCAAATCTCAACGTGACGGCAGTTAAATACTTTATGTTACCTTATGCTGAAGAAGAAATTATATCTATAAACAAAGCTCCATCTTCACAAATTGTGAAACAGTTTTACGAGAAGTCTTTATCCAGTTACTGTTAATATGAATATTTGATAAAACTTTGTGAGAGTTTTGCCATACCAAGACTGTTTCACAACGAATGTGTTATTATACCTCACGTCGTTGGTATTGATACGTTAGCAGAAACAGATATTGAGGATGCTATTGATTTATAGTACAAGAAGCAACATCGAACCTTAAATTTGATAGTATGAGTATGTGATTTTAATGTTCCTATTAATCATTTAATTATGCTTGTTTTTTAGATTTTACTTATAGTGCTAACATTGTTGATTAAGTCATTAGACTGAAATAGGTGCCTAATAGTGATTAAAAATATTTTGATACAGAATTAATATTTGTTAAAATCTCTATTTTTGAAAGTTGGGTTTATAAGTTCAAAGTACGTTTGCAACACAGAAACAAATGCCTAATTGTTTTGTTTTCACAATTTTACTTAGGTATACTTAGTGCTAGCAACGTTGACTAAGACAAGACTGAAATAGGTAGTAATTTGAAATATTTTGATACAGAATTTATGGCTGTTAAAGTCTCTAATAGTGAAAGTTAGGTTTATAAGATCAATGTATGTTTGCAATACAGAAACGGTACGCTGTGTTCCTTGTTTATAATATTGTTTAATCACTCATGAAGATAGTAATGTTCTTACACTTCACTTCATGTTTGTTTTCCCATTGGAATGGGGTTTTTAATTGTAAAATGTTGTACCAGTAAGCGTTTAAAACAATAAAAGGCACTGTTTTATCTCTATATTCCTTTTTTTTTTGGTATCCTTGGGAAACAAAGTAGGGACTTGAGTTAAAAATACAACATTGAATTATTAGATAGCTAATGCATATCGTGTTTTTCCTCTACTTAGCATATTAGGGTTTTGTTAGTTAATTCGTTTTTCCACAACTATGTATCTTATGCTCGATCGTCTTAAGTTGTTTTTCCTCCTAGTTATATCATGCATAGCTTGTCACTTCATGTGATTTTCCTAGCGTTTGTCAAAGTACTGAATTGGCATTTAATGTGTTTTTCCTTCCGCTATATTTGCCAAAAAATAATTAAGCGACACGTAAATCCTTTCATCATGCTAGCATATTTTTCTAAGTTTAATAGTGGACAGTAAATAAAAAATAAATAAACTGTTTTTTATCTTGTCGCTCTAACTTTAAATTTAAATTTTTTATAATTTTTTTTCGGAAAATTAAAACTTTGATCGGCTCTACTGCACAATTTCAAAATTGTCGCTTCAAGGGTTTTTCCTTTCCACCGTCGATATGATCTTTCATTATAAAGCTCGTATAACTTTCGCCTACTCTTATAAATTCCTACTGTCGCCCATTCATTAAATGATTTGCGACTGTTAAAAGAGGAAGTTTTAGAAGTAAATATCCTACTAAATTCGCAAGTTATAATTTTAAATAATGTACCATACAAATAATTAGCACTGTTTTTAAGTGAAAATGATGGAAGTCTTTTTATTATATTACTTCTAAACCTCTCCAAGCGATGTTCATTTATTGGAACAAACACAACTTTCTTATTTTTCTGTTTTTTGCAAGGGAATGATTGATGCAATTGATTTATGCAAGGGCTTAACATCAGTAAAAATATTATCTATACAGGTCGCACTAGGCCCAGCAATACGTGTTGGTTCTAAGAATAAATAAACAAGATTATACGATTTAAACAATGAGCTAAACTTAATACTAATGGAAGAAGTTTCAAGGAGATTGATGTTAAAATCAATAACCAATTAATAACAAAACAATTACCATTATTAAAGTCAGGTTCGCTTATTGTAGAATTGATATTATTCTTTATATAAATAACTATGTCATCTGCTTTGTTGTAGCTTTTTTTAGTATAGTACATATTATAATTGTTTATTAATGGAATGGACTGGTTTTCATTGGTCCAGCATTCCGTGAGTACATATATATCGACATTTATATCAATATAAGAAGAAAATAAAATGAAACTATCAAAGTTTTTGAAACTATCAAAGTTTTTATATATACTATGTATGTTGTGACTTAGAATGCATAAAGAGTTTATATTGTATTTATTAATGTCTAGAGTAATCACGGTGGTCGTAGGATATGTAATTAAATTACATTGGGGATTGAAACTTCTGTCAACGACTGAAGCTATATTGTTATTGTTACGATCGAATGTTGCTGTTTTCATTCAAGGTACCAATTACATGTTGCAGATGAAATGCGAATCTGTGTTGTTAAAATAATAGTTCTATATATAAGTAAAGTTGAAATATTGTGTTAATAATGTATATATATATGGTATTAAAATATGGTAATGCATTAGCAAGTAAAATGACGCTCTTATGTAATATCTGTGTAAATGAGGTTATCATGTTAATAGTGTAGAGTATGA